CCGTGAAAAAATGCCCAACCTACCATAGCCATGAGGGCCTCCTGGGGGAGAGGGGGCGCTCGGTTGGGGATTTCGTTTGTACTCCATGTGCGCATTAAGCGCCAGGATAGTTGAAGGTGGCCCTTCAGCTTCGGGTCCCGGTCTTGTAGTCCAGCTAGCATATCACAAGCTTGGGCTCGACCATGTCCATGCGACCATAGGTGCTCTAGAAACTCTGCAACCAAACCATCCAATTGTTCTCGCTTCCGGGGTAGGGTGAGGTCATTGTCTTCCAACCAGCCAAAGAACTTGGCTGTAGCTGCATCATACCTGGCACGTGTCTTGTCAGAAACGGTAAGAGAACGAAGGGATCCTAGCTTCTGTCTTGCTTTCTGCCTTTCCTCGCATGTCTGACCTTCCAACACTCGCTTGCCTACTTTGCCCATTTCCGAGACATGGGCCGCCGACTCGGACGGTCAGCGGGGTTTTGCGATGTATGGATGTAACCCCACAAGGGGTGAAGGTCAGCTGCGAGGAGGTAGGCATTCACTTTCTGAATTGTTTTTCGAAGCTTTCGGCTTGAGCTGCGTCCCCTGGTGAGGGCATGCAGGCATACCAGGCTATCTGTCAAATGCAAGAACCGATACCTGACTCGATGTCCTCGGAGGATTTTCCAGCGGATGGTCGTCAGGATGGCCCGCAACTCCAACAAATTTATATGATCCCCTTCGTGCTTCCAGCGCCAACCACTAATCTCCTTCCAACGCCACAGGCGCCCAGGAACACTGGCACGCAGACGGGCATGTCGGGGTAGTGGGCCTGTCCCTGCATGAACCATGAGGTCCTCTCCCTTTGAGGTGGTCATGCCAAAAAGCTTACGCACCAGTGCTACAGTGTCCTGTCCAGGTGGATGTTGCTGCCGTCCAGGGAAAGGTGGTCTCAACAAAACATGGTAAAAGCTTGTTCCTTTGCCCGGGGTAAATTCATCCATGAGGCTTTGTAACGACCGTTTGGTGCACAAACCAAGAGGTGCCATCAGCTGCATGATGAGCCACGCGACAACTCCCACCTGCCAGGAGTTGCCTAGCAAGCTGAGGCGAGCATCGTCGTACTTCGCTCCGGACTGCTCCGACTTCACCACGCAATTCTTTGTGTACTCCAGAGGGAACCCCATGATGACCTCTCGTTCCTGAACACTCGGCCTCCTCCAGCAGCCTCGTTTGTTCCACAGCCCATGCTGATCTTTATACTGGTAAGGTGGGAACCGGTAGGAATCCTGAGTCCAACGGTGCAACTCATGAGCGTTGCAGTCCTCGATTCCTGCTGGGCGACGGCCCGGCTGTGGACGGGGTCGGGATGTGGTAAAAGTCGGCAGGTGGCAGCCCTCCCGCAAACTCCAACCTTTCTCCAGGAAAGCACTAGTTTCGACCTCCGCCTCTAACCTGACAACATCAAATGATTTCCACCCTACGTCGTCGTTCGGAACAATGCTCACCCCTACATCTTCCTCCAGTGGCCAGCTGATCCAATAGAGTCGGGGCCTCGAGCATAGGCAAATGCCCTTTGAGTCGATCTTGTGGGGAGACCTTCCGAAACTCTGGCTCATCAGCGCTCTATCGGCACTGCTCATTGATGCGACGTTTTCGGTCAACTCATGTACCTGCGCCCAAGGGAAAGCCTGGCGAAACAAACCACAAATCCGAGGGACATGGACGAACAACGAGCTCCGCTCATCTCTGACAGCGCCCTTGCGCTCAGCATTGAGTCCACTGACCCCCTGACACGGGGGACCAGAGCCAACCAAAACCACACCTACGTTGCTATACTTCAGTGCTAGTTCGGCTACTTGTTCAGGCCCAAACTCTACGACATCTTCGAAAAAGTCGGTCTCAGGAAAGTAGCTCTCAACAACGCGGTGACCTTTGGGATCTTTCTCAATGCTCACATGCCCAGCCATAGGAAGACCCAGCACGTCACAGGCCACCCGCAGGGCGCCAATCCCATCGAACAACCCCACGGACAAAACCTGCACCAAATCATGGGCCTCGGGTACATCACCTCGAACCTGAGCATTTAGAGCAGCTCTGCCATAGTCACTCAGTCCGATGGAAGAGCAAGCGCCCCCCCCCTTTCGTTGAAGCGTCTGAACAAGTAACAACTCCATCAATGGGGACCCGGAAATCCATCTGGGCCAACGGCACAAGTGCAATGAACCTTGACAGCTCGACTTTAACGTCCCATGGCAGACCTAACCTGACAACAGGTGCCTCGCCTTCAAAGCGTTGCATGTGAAGGAAGACCTCCTTCAGGCAGCAAAGCAGTGCCCGACGGAACATGCATATGTAGATGAATCCTCCGCAAACCACTTGCAGCTCTCTCAGAGTGCTCTGCCCTCGTCGGATCAACTCATCTGCCAACTTGCAGTACACCTGGACCTTTTCTGGTTTTGGGATCGCAAAGCCAACCTCGCCATCTAACATGGCACCTTGCACCTCGCCCTGGAGGGCTCTCTGGACTGATTTCTTGGGGTGACGCGGGAGTCCCATGGAGTCGTACATGTTTCGAACTTGGGTCACTGCATCTGAGACACCTCCCTTGATCCTTCCGGCCAAGCGGCTCTCCGTCTTCTCCAACAGGTCGAAGTTGTCAAGGTAGATGCGATACAGTCGACTCCCCGAGCTCAACGGCTGGTCTTTGCGCATTTCATGTTCTCCCCCTATTCCCGCCATGGATGCCCATTTCACCACATTCCTATGGACATGCTGAGCGATGGACACACTGTTAACGAACCCCATGGGCAACACTCTGGCCACCAAGACACAGTCACGATTGCCATACCGTGAAGGAACCAAGTCTGCAGGCACCAGCTTGTTGAACCCGAGGTAGCGCTTCCACTGTTCTGGCACACTGAACAGATAAAAGAAACAGCGGATGTCTTCGCTACTCAGCAACACTACCTCCCCCGCATCGAGGAGGAACCCTGACAGTCCCGCAATTCCCGGGAGTGTGCTGATATCCCCTGCTAGAGATTTACACAGCGTATTCACCGGGATCAGGTTCATGATCAGTCGTTGTGTCTCCAGTCCATCTTTGTATTCCCCTTTGCCCACTGCAAACATGCCGTTTAGCAATGGTAGACCTTGTACATGACAAAGTTCATCGATAGGCATAATATCACAAACTTTTCGTTCAACAAGTCCCTGACAAAGTTCCCACCAACCGCCTTTTTCCACCATAACCCGGGGGGGCTTTGTGTATTTCCAGTCTTCGTGGGGTAAAAGAAAATCCTCAAAGTTTGTGACATACTCCAAAGTGCCGAGACGACAAAACCGTTGAAGCTCCAGACAACCCACCTCTAAGGGAAATGAGTCGCGAATAGCCTTCCAGTTCATGGTCATGCCAACCTTCACCTCTTCACCCAAATAGTCCACGGACTTTCTTTGAAAGAAGTCCTCAAAATTAATAGCAACCTCGTCAACCTTCCACATCCCATGACGATGCACTAAATCGCTCAACTTTTTCACCGCAAGTTTCTGCAGATCTGAGGTCTCCACCGGTCCAGGAGAGTGACTGTTCCACCCTCCCGTGTGGTTGATGCCCAATACAGCAGCTGCCAGCACTGGGTCCGCGGGGGGCACGGGCAACGGCATGAAGCCATCATAGCTCAGGATCGCCTTGCCCTTGTTGGAGCGCATCTTGTCATCACATGTAAGGGTGCCCACCGCGCGTTGGAATACCTCAAGCATAGTCCTTTGCGGTAACTCTGGCAGCGACTTACCTTCTGGCAGCGTGGCAGAATCCCCAGCATGGAGTTCCGCCGACTGAAGCCCGGCTGACTGCCCATGGTTCTTCTCATGCTCAAATTCGTGAAACTTCTCCGACTGGGGCATCATCATTGTCCCAATCTCCTCGAAAAAACTCACTCCCTTGGGTTCCTTGGAACTCCCTGCCACCAGGAGCTCCAACCCCGCCGGGAGTCATCTCCTCTACATCCTCTGTACCAGGAGGGGTCCTGCCACTGGATCCCTCCCGAATGAAGCCACCTGTAAAGCCACTCTGTTGAAAGAACTCGCCCTTCTTGCCCACTGAGACTCCTACCCTGTCTTCTTTTTGCCCTCGCTCTTGCCCTTCTTTCCTTTCTCCTGCTTGCCGCCCTTGTCGCCCTTCTCGTTCCTGTCTCTCCAGTCTCGCCATTGGCCTTTCCCTTTCTCCGGAGGGTCGCGCATGCTTGCACGTTGAAGCACTTTCTGCTCTTCGTTTGCCTGTCTGCCAGCCTTCATGATCTCGGTGGTACTGCTCAGCGAGGGCCGCTCCTGGGCTACAAGCTCCAGCTGCCGTAGTAACTCGGGCTTCATGCCTTTCGAATGCCCCTCGAGGGCCTTGAGTCTCTGGGCCCCCAAGTCCGCGGCAGAGGCCACTTGGCCGGTGAGCAGCAGGTCCAACAGCAATCCCCAGTGGTGCGATTCGCGGGCCACCGGGCCACTCATCGATGGCATGAGGACCTGCCGCACGTACTGGGTCACCAGTGCCGGTACGGCCCCCTCCATAGGCTCCGAAGCAGTGCCCATCTGGGTGAATAGAGCCTCCTTCGCCTCGGCAATCATCGTCATCGTGAGAGCGCCAGGGCAAAGTTTCCACACCCTCTGGGTAGGTGTGGAGGGCTCGAAGAGATCTTTGTCCTCCACCCCCGGGCTCTCTTGGCTTGAACTCGTTGAGGTGCCTGAACTCGATGAGCTGCTGCCTCTCTTCTTGTTCCGACTCTTCCGAGCAACTTTTCTGGCTTTTCTTTTTTACTCTTCGCCGGACTTCGGGCTTCGGATCTAGTCCGGTCGAGCTGAAAATGTTTTCCAGGCTCTTCTTGCCTTGAATCCTGGCCGCTTCTCTCTTCCTCTTCTTCTTCTGCTTTTTCTCCTCTTCTCCCGATGCCCCAGGAGACCTGCTCTTCCGCTTTTCCTTCTCCGGTCTGCCTCCAACTCCTTTTCCTCGATGCCTCAACTCTTCCGCACTGCTTCTCAGAATCTTCAACTCGTCCTCTTCGTCTTCTCCACTGCAGCCTCCAAATTCTGACTCCAGCCAATCTCCTCCCGACGAGCCTTTCGGAGTTGACTGCAGTGTATGTAGTTCTCCTCCCAAACCAGGGCCAAGCAGGGGTCGGCGCAAAGATGCACTCTGACCTGCCTCGAGGGGATGCCGGTCAAGGTCTTCAGGAGAGACTCTGTAGGTGTGCCCGAAGCCTTGATCACTACCTCTCGCCCTGTGTCCTTGCGCTTCACCTCCAATACTTTGCCAATAAGCTCGACCTCTTCCTCCCAATAAGTGCCCTTCATTTGCAGCCACGTCCAATCCAGGAGACAGTCTGCGCTGACCTCTCCCGCCTTGTGCCATTCCGCCTCAATCGCTACAGGTGCTCCTGCTGGCCTCCTCAAAACACCTCGTCTGACAGCGGCCACTGCTGGTCGCCTGCGAGGGGGCATCACCTATCTCAGCGACGCCTGTAGCCCCGGGTTCGCTCCTCCCAGAGTCTCTGCCTTCTCCTCTCCCAGTAGCGCTCGTTCTTCAACTCTTTCTTGATGCCCTTGTTCTTCTTCTTGGCCGCTGGTCTGTTCTTGTAGGCACGGATAGGTCCAATCCACAACTGGCCTCGACTCGGTCTGCGAGGTAGGGGAGGTGGATGATCCGGAGATCGAGGTCGCCTTCAACTTGAATCCACTTCCTCCCAATTACCAGGAGGACGATCAACTTCTGTAGACGCTCTTGCCTCCTCACCAGTTGTCCTCGAGGAGATCTCCTGATCTCCCCCGCGATGACTGCTCTCAGGGCTCGGGCTCCTCCTCTTTTTCTTATCCTTTTGCTGTCTATTCCTTGAGCGACTGCGGGACGTCCTCCTCAAGGGCCTGGCCTTTGGTTTCAACACAAAGCGGGGGTTCTCGGCTTCCTCAACCCCTCTCTCGTCCTTGGCCTTTCTCTCCTTGGCAGGTTCGCTGGGCTTTGAGCTTGGCTTCACTGGCTTCCGTGGTAGAGGTGAACGATGATCTCGATCCACGGGCCTCTTGTCCACCTCCTCTGAAGCCGAGGGTGCCGGTGTCTCGTTGGCAGTCTCGATGCCTGGGGTCTCAACGGGCTTTGCAAGTTCTCCTTCAGGGACTGGGTTGTCTTCCTCCTCTAGGATGGCTTCCTCCTCTGGTTGTGGCTTCTTCTTCTTTCGCCTTCGCTTCTTGGTGGCAACCTGCTCAGGCTCTTCCTTTGTGTCCTTGACCTCCTCCTTGTGCTCTTCCGCCTCGTCCCCAGGAGCTGGGTGGCAGCCAGCTCCCGAAGTCTCACCCTCTGTAGCTCGGCGCTCCTGGCGTAGAAGCTCCAAGCCTTTCTCGAGGATCTTTGTGTAAGCTCTCTCCAGGGTCTTCGCGACGTAGGACCGGAGAGAGTCGCTAGTGTCCTCGTCAACCACAACGGCCGCAACCCTTCCGAGGGCCACACACGCAGCGCAATCGCAATCGCGCGCGCGGTGGTCCATGAGCTGCAGCCGAAACACTGCATAAAAGAACGCATGGGTGTGTCGTTTTAATGCACGGGGCGTTTTTCATATATATACGTTCCTCCAAGAAAAATATCCAGGTATAGGGCAAGTGCGTTTTTCACTCCCGATTGGTCTGGCAGGGGGCTCAGTGCAGGGGCAAGCGGTTGGTTCGCCCCACAGGCACCACTGGTTTTTCCTCATCCGAGTAGCAGCATCTCATCAATGTAGAGCACAAACTGCAAGGACAAAGCACCCAAGACTGTGTCCAAAATGCCGGAGGTATCCATGAGGAGCAAGGTGCCCTCCAAAAGAACCTCGTCCAGTCTCAGGCTGCCCAGGCTGCCCGGACTCTATCAACTCACTAAGATGGAAGTGGAACCCCCCTCTTCGTCAAGGAATGTAGTCTTCCAAGGGGCATTTGTCCATTCCAAGTTAGTAGTGGGTCACAGTGCAATTATGTTCTTCATCTTGCTGATCTCTCTCTCTCTCTCTCTCTGTCTCATGTGTCTCGTTCCCTTTCTTTTATCAAGGCATCTTAGACATTTTCGGAGCTAGGGAATTGCCCGTGATCTTTGGATGATGTTCCGAAGAGTGCAAGGCTCTTGTCATTGGGAAGTTCAAAGGACGCGGGTAATGCTAGACTCGAAACAACATGGACAAGAAAAGGACGCATGAAAACAAAGAGTCGACCCTGTTCCATGCTTAGCCTGTTCTGGTCGTAACCCTGTTGTTACCGTGACCCATGTTCCGATATCACCAGGGCGATCTTGCACCTCCAAGGCCTCGATGCTTTGCCAAGCAGCATAATGGCAAAGGGCGATCTTGGGCAACAGCACCACGATCATAATGATTGCTTTCCAATAAATAGGAATGCCACCAATTTCTAGGTGCGCAATGCTGCGATTGCAAGCGATTGCAAGCGTGTGACAGATCGAGAACAAAAAGAAGATCCAGCGTGCGCGCATGTAGAAGCGTATTCCATCTGATCGGGTGTGTTACAAGCAAGCTGATCTCCAAAGGAACGCTGGCTCTTGAAAATGCAGGAACTGGTCAACAAACATCGCGACTATGCCCAGGCTCGGTAGTTGGCCTTGCCGTGGCGATCGAAAGTGATCCACTTCCACCTCATACCTTCTACACGACTCATCTCCGCCGTGTGGGGCCTCGGTTCCGTATGACGAGTGGGTCTGGGCCAGGAAGCTTCCGTGAACCCCGGGAGGCGTGAACCCCGTTCTGTCCACTTCCTTCGCAGGATTCAGAATGAAACCCTCCGTGACCTCGTTTCGCCCCGCGTTCGAACATATATCTTTCCAACATGGACCGAGAATCTGGGTGCAAACAACGCCTTCGAGGACCAAAGAACCGACGCCTGAATCCTTTCCAAGCCTGGAAGGGGCCATGGACTCTACATCCTCCGTCTACATCTCCATCCCAACTCCTTCGACTCTATGGACTTCTATGGCCTTCTGTACTCATGGAAGCTAAACCCGTCCACTGAAAGCCTTGTGGTTTGTGTCCTTTGTGGTGAAAACACCAACGCGTACGCGCGTACGAGGCCTCCCAACATGGCAAAGTTGGCTTAATTAGCAACCCCCTCTTCAATTTCTCTGGAACCATGCTGGCCGCTCGCATAGCACACCCGATAATTACATGGCACTCATAGCAACTTCAAATAGATCTTGATGCTATTCCCAGTGCATTTCACAAGGAGGAAGCCTCGTTTCTATAATTCTAATTCAATATCTTATTGCTCAGGCCCCCCTAAAAAAAGGCTCCCAAGGCCTTTTAGCCCACCTCTCTATTGTAGTCAGCTTACCCCACCGGTCTCTTGCGGCCTGACTCACACCGAAACAGGCGCTTTCTGCCCAGTAGCGTGGACCAAAGCAACGTGAACATTCGGAAGCAAGTTTGGACCCTTGGCGCAGGTCACGCTCATCTCAAATGCTACTAGTCTTAGTCAGTGACTTCTTGCTTTTTTGCCATGGCTGCTTGCAGCCCCTATGAGAAGATTTCAGAAGTGCCATAATGCGCCATACTTCGTCGAGAGAAGGACCGGGATTGGGGCCCCAAGGCGACTCTGTGGAAGGTCCAAGAGTTCTCAAATCCTTACATCACAAAAAGCAAATTACAAGACCACGGTGCGTATGGAGCTTGCCCGGGTGGGAGGACTTGACAGGCACGAACCAGAACAAGTGCTCCCAAACATAGCAAAATACCCGATTGTACTGGGACCTAGGGTCAGTACATATTTTTTTGGGGGACTGACCCTGGCTCAGCCAAAACAGGTGGATAAATGTGAGGGCTTGAGGCTCAAGATGAGCCCCCCCCCCCCCAAAAAAAAAACCTGACCAATGCAAATAGAATTCTGGGAAATGCATGTACAAATTAATTCTGAATAATTTTAATGCACTGACCCTCAAATTATGCCCCCAAAAAAACACATCCATTCCTTACTTGGGTGGATGTTTTTGAGGGATAGACCCCCTGGTTAGGTTGCTGGCATGCTGGCACACAGATAAAGTCCAGGCACTGACGGCCTGGATTTTAACCATCCAGTACGGCCACCTAGTATATTATAACAAAGCAACACAAGAAAACCATGTCCTTCGTATCAAAACCAGTTCCCCTCCGCCTCCGTCGGTTCCGTGTCGACGGTTCTTTGGGTGCCACACTAAGTGATGCGAATTAAATTTGGATCTTTTGCCATGGGTCAGTCAGATGTACACTCAACGGAAGCCCGCACGATCCCGTACACAGCAAACTCCGAAAAGTTCCAAGTGGCTCTTGCATGGCAGACACCGTGAAGAGGAAAACACAAATCCATCGGCACATCTCGTTCTCGAGGCCATACTCGCCTGATGAATTCGGCGCCTTCGTGAGTGGAGTAGAGCGGACGATCGAAGGGGTCTGCCCACATACCAGGACACTACGAAGAACACGTCACATGTGTGCTAACATGGAAGTGGATCGCCCCCCCTGTTTGTAAAGGAAATGAGTCATCCAAGGGTCCATGTTCCACTTCCGAGGTGTTCGGGTCATGATGAATCCCGGCGACGTTGATGGACATACTGTCAATTTGGGTGGTCCGACGGTCCCACGGTACCAGTAGCAAATAGCTACTAGTAGCTATTTGCTACTAGTAGCAATGCCCTTGTTACTAGCAGCAATGCACTTGTTACTAGTAGAAACCTTACTATAGATAGGTTCTTGCAAGTTCAACGTCTCGTGGTTGACCAATTGTCTGTCCATACTTCACGTCGGGGATTCTCAGCAAGTCTGGCTGGCCCTCCGAAAGGGCATAGATAGCGGGCAAGTCGCTTTTGTTCCAACCATGGGGGCTTGCCCATGGCAGTCTATGTTATATATAAACTAAAATAACTATATTAATATAATATAGACTAGAACGTTGAATGGTAATGAACGCTCCTTCTGCACCCTACACAGCTTGAAGAATTGTATGGATTTGTAGTACTTACATAACATGTAAAATATTTTATTGAGTTTTTTCGAGGTTCTGTAGACCCCTGGTGGTGCAAGTCATAGTTGCCATGGCCTGGATCGACGTGCGCGTTGATTTCCTCTTCCTGGCGTTGGGTGCGACTCACGCAGGTGGCAGTTGCATCACCACTCACGAAACGCACTTTTCTCCCCTCACACATCAAAAATCACTCAAAACACCACATACCACACTCAATCATTGGAATAAAACCAATCAAGATCAAAACAACTTATTTTTGTGAGGAAGGCCGCCGCTTCGGCGCCGGTCGGCTTGTGGGTCTGTCAAGGAAAATGCCATCAAGGACTCAGAATCTGGCTCAAATTGGGATGTCAGGGATGCACTCGGCTTCTTGTGGCTTATTTGGGCTACAACAGTTGGACATGTTAAAAACATTTCATTAACTGCTTTAAGCCAATCCACTACATGAGAAAAGGTGATGGCACGGACGAAAACTAGAAAACGACCATCCTCTAAAGAACACAAACCATCAAATGCATTAAAATGCCTTTCCTTGTCCATATATGTCCATATCATGTTGGTTGATGTTTGTTGGAGCGTAGCTTCCTCTTGCTCTCCCCAACATTGTAGGCCACACATCTCCACACCATCTGAGTGCTCTCCAGTCCTTGTCGGGAAGGACGTCCAGCAAGGCCTCCAGTGAGCTGTGTCGTCCAAGCTGCTTGTTGACATGAGGTTGGCCCGATTTTATCGGGGAGCTCCATCTGTACACTTGGACCACATTCACAGGAGCAACGAGGTTGTGAAAACGAACTGGTCAATCAATGCCCTGATATCCTGAAAGTCTCTGAAAGTCTCACGTCCCGTCTGTATCATAATGCACTCTTCACTTCCCCACCTGACACTAAGAACACACACACGCAAAAAAAACAACACACAAAAAAAAAGAAACAGTCGGGGAGGAGCTCCAAATCTCACATCTTTTGTGAACACATCAGAACACCAAAGCACCAGCATTTGAAGAACCTTATAGACTGTCTTATAGGTACCCGTGTAGGGTCCTATAAGGTCACTTAGCCTCTGTAGGAAAGCACCTAAGCACCAAGATTGTTGCATGTTTTTGCCCACATCTTTCCTGGTCTCGGATCTGCCTGTTTGGTGAACTTCTGCACTGCCCATTGAGTGTAGCCGTACAAGCGCGGCGGTGCAAACTGGGTACCTGCGAACGAAGAGACCGGTCCCACAGCTTCCTCCAAACCAACCGAGTCCCGGCTTTCCTCCCATAACTGAGTCCAACAAACCAATTTGTTGAGCTTGGCGAAACTGATTTGGAATGAACACAGTCACTGCAAGCTGAAGTATTTTGCAGCCCATGTATGTGTGCTTTACGAATTCCAGCACCGCACTTTCTTCATCTCCTTCTGGAGCTCACCCTTGAATCAGCAAGTGAACATGAACATGATTGAACATAAGGACACATGAGCTATCATGTTCGTTCGATTTCTTGCAGAACATGGAGATATGTCCGAAGCTGTCTGCA